TGGCGAACGATCCTGGTAACGATCAACGGTCGTAGCAATTCCGTCTAATACAGGTAAATAAAAGCTACGTTTTTCATGATGAGGAACGCCGCAATTTTCGTAAAACTCAGTACATTAAAGGGCGGTAGATTACGGGATAACGTTAACATTTCTCCAATGCTCGTATATTATAAGTTCTCCTCTATAAAGTCCAAGCAATGTTCTCGCCTCTCCGCAACTCTAGGATCTGTATATCTTTGCGCCTTAACACAGTATTGCAATTCAATTTCTCAAAAATAATAATGGATTCTCAAGACATAAATACAATGGAATATCAAGATTTATAACAATAGGATTTCACGATTTCATCGAAAATGCCTTCAACAATAAATCGCAAACGTTTTTTTAACAATGAATACCCAAAAAACCATTAAAGTCAAGTTAAAATACGCTGCAGAAATTCACGAAATGATTTTAAGAGAAATCTGTGATATGCAATGTTTCTTCGGCTCTAAATGTTCTTTATACACATAAATAATTAATCAAACACCAAAATTCTCAGTTAAAGAAAACTTGCGAACATTGTCTGCCATCCCAAGTTGATGTTTTGTAGCAAGAGTTCCAATTAAGTTGTTCGCGGTGAAAAAGCCCCGGTTATTATCAAAAATTTATATCCGTTTGTAACTTCGTTAGACAATCAATGTTGGTTTTTCGAGCTAAAATCATTAATGAGAGATGAGAAATCGGCTGCTTCGTGTACTTAGACAGCTACGGGAACTTTCGTCAGAACGTGTACTTGAGCGTAGTCTAAATGTATACTGTAGGTCCTACAGATATTTGTGCAGATATTTGTGCACCTACAGATATTTGTGCAGATTCAAGTGTGCAGATTTGCAGATCTGTGCCACTGTGGCTCAGAATATTCTGTTAGGCGGGGCGAAAAACATTGGCAAGTTAGCGGCGGGTAACTTTTTTTATAGTCAATCTCCAATGGGAAAAAATTATCTTTTATTTTGAAAACACTCTGAACTTGGGGAGATTATCGTCTAGTCCAGACATTGAACTTACGCATAATCAATGCCAGAGACGTTTTACAATTTTTGAGTTAAGTTAATCTGAAATTTTAGGCTCCTCGTGACAGGGTTTTTTCATGTACTAAAAAATTCGCAATAGCCGATCTCTTAACACCAGTTTCTAAGACTTTCTGCTTCATGAGGGAGAATATTTCCCTGAAATTCAACGAGTTTTCAAAAGTACATCGCGCTATCACAAAAATTTAGAATGATGTTTTAGAGAGTTTTGCTATTTTCATTACTGTTTGTTAAGCACTAGTGGCTTAGGCGAAATTTCGATACTCAGATTTCAAGGAGTTTTATTTGGGTAATCTTGAAAACATAGTTTCTGCAAGTATGACAAGAAATATTAGCTATCTAATACACAAGATAAACAAATATAAGCAAAACTAAATCCAAGTGAATCAAAAAATATATCGGAATCAATAATGCAGAACTAATAAATTGCAGCACTAAACTCACCGAAGTTTTTCGCCACTAAAGAGGTTTGAACTACGAATGACAATTTATCTACAGGTAAACTTCGGTCGGATGACTGAAGGTCTAAACAGAAAGATTACGTGAAGCGTACATGTGAAAAATTGCGATTACACTGTTATGAGCTTTTTTTATTCCGAACAGCTTTCGGAATAACCCGAAGATCTATGAATTTTATATTTCTGGTCAACATTCATTTTGCGTTTTATTACTTCAATAATCATCTATTTTCGACTGTTCAAATAGCATGGCAATGCCAGCAGTGTTATCGCGTTCTCCGATACTCCACGCTCCATCATGAGAGTTGTTTCTCAGAAGTCGTTTGGAGTCGTTTAGAGCGGCCAATTTTGGGAGTTTTTGCTCAAAGCCCACCGTCTGAAAACATCCAATGAATACGAATCGACCTCGCCAGATCGCTGCCCGATGTGTCCCAACCCTGGACAAAGGAAAGGTCGCTCTGCTTCGTCTTACGACGCAACTGTTTCTAGAAGTCCCCAAGACTGACGAATCTTTTTTCTTGCATTCATTACTCAACTTCAGGCCAGGATTGTGCACTGACTGCCATTAAATTGTTTTCCAAACTCCCACGTAATATTTTATTCGAGCTATGTCCAAAATGGAGCTAAAAATACAGTATTTTGATCGATACTGCATTTGAATATTGATTTTTTGAATGGCTATTAAAAATGGAAAAAGACAAATTATTTTTGACAATTAACCAGCAGTAAGAATTAAGAATGGACACATTATATGAATTTAAATTCTTTGTTTAAACTTAAACTTTGTTTTTTTTTTAATTATTTTGAAATTCTAACTTCAGTACGTTCTAAAACCGAGCACATTTTCGGCAATCCAGCCATGGTAATGAGTAATTATCGTGCTTCTAAGGTTACTTTCATACTCGGTGAACCAAATGTAAGTTTAATTTATTTCCTTAGATCGGTCTGATAACTGATGGTTTATATTTCTGGGGAAATTTATACCGGTATAGAAAGACATTACTTTTAGGGCATTTCATTTCACATTATATTGGGAACGCCTACAAAGCAATAATAATTATTCTGCGGATAATTCAACGCAACATATCACTGATAACTTAAAAAACAACAACCTTCACTTAATGGAGGTGCTGCTGGCAAGCTTTAGTTGGACTGCAATTCTCTCTGCCGACAGCGTGAGTAATTGTCTAAACTTTTCTAAAACGACGCAAATTGAAATTTAACGAGGAATTGACAGCGGAAATCGCTTTTGGTGATCCAATAGAAACCCCCAGTGATTGACTGGTGCATTCATGAAGAGAGATGAGGCTCGCTAACAGCAAGTTATTGTATTGCCCTGCGTTGGGTAGCACGGTTTGTTTTCATTTATACAAACATTGTTATTATATACGCGTTGTTGTAGGTGCTGATATACATGGGCTTGTAGTTAATTTGAGGTGATCAGGAATGGTCTCTCTAAAGACAAACATTAATACCGCATAGACGCTCAAAAATTACATATCATATTGTTTTTGTTTGAGAATGCATAATTTTGAAATAATATGCTTGTGAACATGTTATTTAGTTGTTCATTAATTACTCGCTCTTCATTCATTCATTATCTAGGTCAGTGTGCTCACCTTCAGTGTCATCCTTGAACGAACACAGTGAATGCGGCGTCTCGAACTTGAACATGTTTGGCCGGAGTATATCGGACATGGCTGTTTGCTACCCGTGCTCATTTGTGCCTTCGTACTGGAATGTCTCTTGAGGATACTGGAATAAATTGTTGAGTAAAAATGACATTAAAGTGTCGCCCCGTACTTCTTCTCCAAGCACTCGTGATATTGATAGCAATAACATGCTATGCAAGTGAAAAATCGCCAGAGAGCCGAGCAATTCCGGCAAATTATTTCTATCGGAGTTCCAAATCTAACTCCGCAGCAATGATCGTAAAATCAACGCACCTCGAAAAACGGGACGTAAAAATCGACGTTCCTTCGACCCTGTATGAGGAAAGATCCCCTGGGCACACGCACGATGATCCCTCGAGGTCCCCTACATCCCAGGATATTTACGGACCCACGTACCCCATGTATCCTCCGCTGGGGACTTTGGGGCCTTACGGGAGCAACTGGTTTCCTGAGGAGTATACGAATAACCATCGCAACACGGACCGGTGAGGGTTTTAGTTGTCCGTCGGCAGTATAGCAATTACGTACTCTGAAATATTAATGGTAGATTTTAAGCGCCATCAGATAATTTGACGCAAGCTTCGTAACTTTTCGTGTGCTTTTCATTGGTTGTTTACAATAAAATTCATTGATATCAAGCAGTGCATGTAACAGTAAAATTCGTGCGCGATATTTTTGTACAGCTGGTTAAATAAGAGCTTTCAGAATCATTATTTATACTTATAACAAATACTGCATTTGATACTCGCAATTTGTAAACAAATCCGGCCTCCCTTAATTCCCTGCTTAATCTCTGCGAAAAGTTCACTGTGAGAAACCAAAACAAGTCAAACTAATCTCTTGCTAATAAAACATTCAGCTCGTTCGAGCAAACTTGAATAAGTCATGTAAAATTACGTGCTTCAATGCAGCCGAGTTCAGTACTATGTACATTGCATTGCATCAGCCATGATGAACACTCATCAATCTTGAACAGCGAACAGTTGCTGTGTCAACAGAAGAGTGTTTAGAATCATCGGGCAATCATAGAATGTTTAATTTCCGACGATGTGCTAGAATGTTTATCTACTATTATTCACTTTATAAATTGGGCATCCGTTGGGCATATGTAATGGGATTTTTCAATTTGACGTCAATACGAGAGCGAAAATTTCTCACCGCCATCACGAAAGCTCGACGTAGAACATGATCAACGCCTGTGCCTCACAGTCATCTAATTTTTCCTAATTTGTACAGTAATAATAAGCCCAATATTAAGTGCCCTGATAATCTAATTAAATAATTGAGAGTAATTGCTCATATTTTACGTATTTACTTCTCTAAAAAAATTTCACCTCAAACTCAGAATTTTTTGCTCTGTTTGCTTTAAGTGATTTGTTCTTCACTGAGAATTTAAATATTTTTTTTTTATTTAAAGAGGAATGAACTGGCAGGAATTCTTCCTTCACAGTAGAATGAACTACTGGGAATTCATTCCATTTTAATCCGGTGTCAGATCACGTTGACCCCTGACGTGTTTAGGAACTGATAACCACATTTCCGATGCCCAGTCGCAAGTTCCACGTTGATCCCTCACTTATTCAGGAACTGATAACCAACCACATTTCTGATGCCCAGATGCCCAGTCCCAAATTCCAAATTGATCCTGACGTATTCAGGAACTGATAACCACATTTCTGATGCCCAGTTCCAAATTGATCCCTGACGTATTTAGGAACTGATAACGACATTTCTGATGCCCAGTCCCAAATTGATCCCTGACGTATTTAGGAACTGATAACGACACACCAGTGCGAGGTGATGACGGAGGCCCCGGCCTTCAAGACGGCCGTCATGTACAAAAACATGACAGTTGTAGGTGAGCAAACTTGATGATGGGGTGATGATGGTGCCACCAGTGCGAGGTGATGACGGAGGCTGGCCTTCATAAAAATCTTATTTCCATTTTCCATTTCACTTTTTCATTAAAAAAAACTGGAAGATATCATGACTTAGAAAATTTCCATCGGAAGAAATTTGAAACGATAATTAACTACAAGTATTAACTCATGTTTATTATTATTTAATACCGTGTAATACATGCGTCGGACAGTAAATAAATGTCCTATAATGTAGAACAAAATTACATCTAGATGAAAAGAAGCTCTAGTGGATTTATAGAGAAATCTTTGACCCAGCAGCATTCCTCTATCCCATTGGTTTGTCTTGAAACACAAATGCTCGAGAATTGAAACTGAAATATTAACCATTAAGTTTACAATATGAAAGTTGATATTTCAGTTGTTGAAATGTTAATAATATAATTATATATCAATTTAAATATTTATGAAAAAATTTGCCAGTTCCTCCCCAGGGTGTGCGGCTGTCCCCCCGGCTCCCCGCCCTCGCCCGCTACGCCCCTGGGGAGACGGTGGAGCGTAACTGCTCGGCGGGGGGCTCCGTCCCCCGTACTGTGCTCAAGTGGATCATCAACGGCAAACCTGTGAGATCATTATTCATAATACACACAGATGGGTGTGAGATAATTCAGAATATCACACAAGAAAATGAATGGGATATTCCGTTAAATCCATTTGTTACACCTACCACTGATTAACCATTTTCCTGAACAAACTGGGTTTGTATGATTCACACATGTACAAAAAATGCATTAATTTATAAAACTAGTCAGGAAGAACTGTCAAATTTTCTTCATGATTGACTTTATTGCTCTTTGAAAAATTTCGCTCGTTTCGCTGAGTGTACCTTACGATCGTTTGCTGAATAAATTCATCAAAATTGCTACTTTTGGTGTCTACCGAAGTGCTGTGATCCTCAGTACTATTATGTCGATGCATAAAAAATCGTGCTGTGAAAGAAACTATTAAAAAAAACAATATTTGTTATGTATAAAAATATTTTAAATTTAATATCGTCATGTTGAATACAAATATTCGCGGCATGCAATGCCCGAATTCCAATGCATTGAAGAGATATAAGCTAAAATTATTTATTAGTTCGTAGTGTAGGTAAATAAATGAATTTTACCTCCAATTTATTGAAGAGATCTTGTCTCATTATTAAAAGAATATACCAACATTTCAGGCTACAGTATCAGAGCTCGTCGAATACCCAGACGTGGTGGACAAGGATGGCCGCGTGACCAGCACGAGCGGCGTGAGACTTGTAACAAACCAGCATTTCCTTAGAGGCATCGCCAGGGTCAGCTGCTTAGCCTCCATAAACGGACAGAAACTCACCACTCTGTCCGAGGTTCTGCACGCCGATAAAACTGCCACAGTCGCCTATAACACGCACCTTTCCAATGCAGGTTAGTTAAATGCTAGAATTACAAGCCTCCATCAACGGACAGAAACTCACAACTCTGTCCGAGGTTCTGCACGCCGATAAAACTGCCACAGTCGCTTATAACACGCACCTTTCCAATGCAGGTTAGCTAAGTGCTAGAATTATAAGCCAGAATTAACGGACAGAAACTCACCACCTGTTCTGTCCGAGGTTCTGTATACGCCGATAAAACTGCCAAAGTCGCCTATAACACGCACTTTGCCAATGCAGGTTAGTTAAGTGCTAGAATTATGATGGGAACTTGATTATTAAAGCACGTTGAAATAGCTGAGACGTAATACAAAAATATCAAACGCTATTTACATTTGAACGTTATATAGAACATATTTATGTTATATGTGCTTATATAGCTTACAAAACACTCCGTAAGTGTGATGGCTTAGAAAGCGCTACGCAGAATAACCTGTCAAAAATAAAATTTTTACGAATTTTTACGTCTCTTTTCGAGTATACTGCTACGTCTATAGTCACAATAAATCTTCTCTGCGTAAGAATAGTACTTTATGATGCTACAATTTTACGCTTAACACTAAATTGGCATCAATAACCGTGCACGTGTGACTAAAACTTTACTGATGAAGTCTTGTCGCCTCCTAGAAAAAAGTTAATATTTTTTTACTAACTATTTTGTTGAATTTATTTCCGATGGAACTGAAAGACCAATTAATTATTTAACGAGTTAATGGAAAGGTGCGTATTTTCGAATGATTCTGAAAATGTAATTTTCACAGCTTATTCGAATACTGCTGCTAAATTTCAATTTCCTTCTCATCCAACAGTTCCGGAAATCCAGTCGCTTCAAAATCACTTGCTGCTAATCACATCTCTGATGCTCGAGTGGAGACGTCCAAGAAACTAAAGTTTTATCTGCAGATTGAAATTAAATAAACTGTAAATTCATCTAAACCCGACTATGAAACACGAGACTCGAAAATATTTATGGAGTGTAGTATTCTAATGTTTATCCTCAGTTTTTGAATTTCAACCTCAATTTTTTCTATTTTAAATCTATGCCAATTATTCGTTAAATAACCTCCATGTAGGTTTATAATGGTGCTTATATTGATATAATTGTGGTCCTGGAGCTAAAGTTTTCTGACGTCATCGCTTCGCAGTTTGGAAAATATTTCTCCACGTCTATTGTATGGCTAATTAAGCAGCCCTCGTCTTTCTCTAGGCTAGACGAATAGAAAAAGGGTGGAAATGGCGAGTGATTAATCGGTTAAACGCGTGCCATTCCAGATTAAAATAGAGCCACATTTACTGAGTTACAAAGCATTTCTAGTCCAACTTAAAATGGTCGGAAATCTTCAGTTTGTTAGCTGTCGGACAACAACTATAAGGCCAGACTGGCGAGGAACCATTATTATCTCACTACGTCCCGATAATAACTCTTCTCTTGCCATTACTCAAGAGCTAAAACTTTGGTGTAAATAAAGCTCAAAATGTTTGAAAAGTAACTTACGTCATTTCTTTATGAAACACCGTTAGCTGCAACTTAGAATGGTCAGGAATTTTGAGTTCTTTTAGCATCGGACAATTTTAATCCTGAAGGTCGAGGCACATTCACGGGAACGCGTAAGATTTAAATCTTTAAGCATCCCTATTTCCTTGCCTTGACTTTAATTTCTGACTTTAATTTGCCCTGACATCATTATAACTCCAATATATTCATGCAATTTGATAAGATATTGATGGGACATTCCGTTGAATACCAGGGAGTATTACCATAGGATCTTTTTTGATACATGAATGTATATGTATTTCTTATTAATTTTATTATTTTTCTTCCTGATAAGTGAAAAAATTGTTACTACGCCTATTTAGCGAATGTTGAATAATGTAATTAAAGTAGCTAACAGTTTCTGACTGACTAAATTATCCCATATAGTAAATGGATTTATTTGTGCATTTCAAAAATGCGTTTTGCCTACATTTTCGATGAATAGAAAATGAAAAAACTAATCGCTGGCCAATTCCACCCTTGAATTCCTATTTTAATCTTGAGTGGATTGTCTCTGTCGTGGTCTGCGTCCTTTAACCTCACTCGATTGCCTGTTCGAAACGCTTCTCCTCAGCTACAAGTCATTTGTTTTATGAAGATTTTATGAATGTGCTAAACCCTGAACTTCTAAATATATTAACCGCTTTAAAAACTATTCACTAATTTAAATAACTAATATGCTTGTCAAGTAGGTAGTAAAAAATTTCCTTCCAGCTGAAATATTTGACTGAGGGTTTCAGCAACTCGAATTTCGCGAAAGTATGTTTCTCTAATTTTAAAATCTGTTTCGAACGCATAACTGTGAACAGTTATTCTGGAAGATTAAAGTCTGGGATATTTTTTTCACGGTAAAAAATTAAAATTAGAACAAACAGCATAATTTATGCTATTTTCTGTGGAAATATTAGTATATAAGACAAGTAAGCCACCTCGTTCTATAAAGGAAATAAATTTAAATGTTAATCGACAATCTAGATTTTATTTTTATGCATAGTACTAAAATAAATATTTCTTCGTGACAATTTTCTCTATTTTAGTGATTAAAAATTACAAAAATTATCAATTTTAAACTTTATCACTTATGAAAACACAAAATTTTTCTGAAATCGGTTGATTTCTCGTCTGTAAATGGTGGGCTTATCTTGAAAAGCCGTCAATTATTGGCTGACGTTATTACAAACTTAAATATTTTGATAGCGCGACCCTGATCCTGACCGCAATTGAGAGTGAAAATCAGGTAAAGAGGGTAAGAATTTTTTGTGTATGAATCGTGTAAGAATTTTTTTCGACCTCACATTTATAATTGAGCTTCAAATTCACATGTAGTTTATATTTTCATGACAAATTTTGCTGACTACAACAGTGATTTGTTGATTGAAATTTCAAAATTTCTCTTTCTGAAAGTATTTCGACGATACAATCAACATTTCCTGTTATCAGTTTAATCCGGGAAAAAATGTAATTATCTCTGAATTACCTCTTATATAGTTGAATTTGTGCAAGCATACGATGTTAACGTGGTGCAAAAATTGCGAATGACAAAATTTGTATTTGTATTTAAAATTGTAGTCATTAAAGCTGGAAGAATAAGGAGCCTAATTAACAAGCCTCGACGGGAAAAAGAAATGCAAAACATATTTTAATTCGTATTTAAGACAATTCATGGAATAAACTCATATCATGAATTTTATTGCGCTAAGTTTTTGTACTTTAAGAATAGCATTTAGCTTGGTATTCTCTTGATCGCATGATGGTCGAGATACCTCGGAAAACCGTACGCTTATTCAGAGTTTGTTATACATATTAATTAATCTATGTTCTGTTGGTATCAATAAAGTGAATAAATAATTTTCTTTTCATTCAATTTTCCACTTGTTATCGCTAAGTCATCGATACCAGGAAAATTGTATATCAATATTTTAACCGACAAACAAAATGTTAAGCTGCATTTAAAAAATTGCAGATAATTTATTTGTAAAAACTCTTTCTCATAGCTTCGTATTAATGAAATTATGAAAATGCAGTAATGTTGGATTATCTCGTCAACTTGATGTCAACTTGATGGAGGCTCGTCAATTTTTGAGCTGATGAAATAAGGATGAATCAATCAACAAAAATTAATAACTCGGTTCATAAACACAAAGAAAACAATCCAAATTTATCGAAATCACGTGATCCTATTATATAAGCTAGCCACGGATACCAAACCTATAAAATGTAAATTCTCTTCAAGCTGTAACCCTGTTCAGACGGCAAGCCAAGTTAGGGTAAGCGTTCAAGATCTCGACAACTGTACAAGGGGCAAGAGCTGAACTTCAGTCGACTGGATCATAAGCTGTGTCTTGACAATTCTTGACCGCAACGTTTAAGATCCGAAGCAACATAAATAAAACCCTCCCACCTGGGAAGCAAGAAACGCATCGTTATTCTACGACGTACGACTTTTAATTAACGATATATCTAATTGAAAAGTTAGCACGAACGAAGTATCCAATACAGAACACGGCTAGACAGAAATAAATGACAATGCTCGATGAATCTCTGAGTTAATAAACTATTCTAAAATTTGCTGAATCGACCGAGTCAAAGAAATACCCGATTTATACACTGAATTACCACTATACAAACATATAACTTTTGACAATCAGTAAATGACACAACAAAACATTCTCTCACCGCGGCCACCAAAAATTTTGTCGAGATAAATTTCCGAGGAATATTAATTATTAGCATGCATTGGCTACCCGCGCACGAACAGTTGACGCAGGCCTTAATTTATTTGGACAGGTAAAATACTGTGGTTCAAGGTAGGTGCCAGGAGCGGTCATTGGGAACTCAAATGTTGCCTTAAAATGCACTCTAGAAATAAAAGCTATGTAGGAAAACACGCGGGAGCTAAAAAAATAATAAAAGTTTTTTTCCAGGCCGCAAGCTCAATACCTCAAGATATCAAGACAATCGGAGATGAATGTATGCCATGCATGTTATATACTGTACTTTCGAAAATTCTAATAATTGAAGCAAATTAAACAGTTCGACATCATAATTTAAATTTATACAATATTGAATAGAATTTAGAGGCAGTACAGAGAAACTACCGGCACGCAATTCGCAGGTTAGTCCAAAAATATAATTTCTGTTTGTCACCCGCATGGAAATCACATTCAAACGCTCGGCGGGAAGGAAAAGCTATTTGAACTACAGTAAAAGCCGTTCATGCGAATTTTGTAGCACTGTTAAAGTTGCGAGAAAATGTCAATTACTTTGGTTGGTGATTCTTGGTTTAATTAAGTTTCTCTAGAATATTTATTTTTACACGACGTCATTTATTCAAATAATTAGAATTCAATGAATTTCCTTTGGCTATCCAGAGACAGGCATAAAAATATTTGCCCAAGAGGTTATAAGCAAAATTATTTAATAAATATATTAAAAAAATATCGTAATAGAGACCTGAGATGGGATATCTTAATATCCTAGTACACCATCAAAATATAATGCTATTTCAAGACTTATTAGAAAATTTGTAACGAAGCACGTTTAGAGAATTAGAACAAATACTGCTACCATAAAATTCTACGATTGGCAAATGAAGCGAATTAATATACTGGCCACTTCTCAGCCTTTATATAAAGGCACAAAATAAACAACAAAATTCTGAAATTATGGCAGAACTGAAGGCTCTTAATTTTCGCAAGGCGCTGCACGCGCTGCGCAGCTTAACGTGCGCCGCATGGCATGGCAGCAGCCAACGCTTGTATAGTAAGATTTTCCACCATAAATTATCAATAAATTTGCTGTATGAACAGTAATCAATCTCATTGGAAAGGCATTGAGCCGGTAAATTGATAAATGTTCGGTAATCTATTATTAAAGAAGGAAGAGATGTTTTCAACTATCAAGCGGTAAACATTAGTGTGGCTTTTGGAGGACTGATTTCTTAAAAAGAAAAATATTTAAAATATATATAACAATTTTTTGATATCTCAAGTTTCAAAATGTGAAGTGCATTTTCAAGCAAGAATTTTGGATGAAAGTGAAAAATTTAATAATTTAGTGTAATTCGTGTTTCAGTTATATTTCGAGCACATAAAAAACGCATTAATAAAATAACAGTACCGTTTGAGGCTCATTCCCACACTGTCCTTTGTTTATTTTAAATGTGAGGTTTTGACGTCACAAAAAAATGGTTAATAAGAAATTCACAAACAAAGAAACTCGCACCATAAAATCACCATATCTTTATAATGGAATACATTTCGGAGTCCAGCTCCATCGTCAGTTTGACAAACTTAGAACGTAAAAACAATCATTGATGATCTCATAAAATCTTAGATTATACAATGTATTCACTATACACACTGTATATTGGATCATAAAATATGTAGTTACTTTCTAAGGCTTGTAAACTGACGATGGAGTTGGACGCCGAAATTATTTCCGTTATAAAGATATAGTGAATTTATGTGCCATCTTCTTTGTTTTTAAATGTCACGTTAATTTCTCATTTAGGCAATAAAGTGAAATTAATACTTTAATACTAATTTTTTTAATATTTATGGGTGTCATGACCTAGTTAATATCTACGTTTGTGGTAACCCATCTAATATCCAAATTATTTTATGCAATATTCATGAACTTTTATTAATATAGAAATCACGACAATTCATGCGGCTAATTACGAATTAACAGAGATATACGCAATTTTCTTTTCTTTGTGTTCGCAAATTTTCTAGAAAATATCTCATGACTTTAATAAGTAAATGCATGACAGTAACTCAACCATTTTTGTTTTGGAGTTGTTTGATATTAATTGATAAGAAAATACGTTTATCCTGCAGGTTAAATAAGTAGGAATTATTTTCTTCATTCAAAAATTCAAAATATACTGGAATCCGCTTGCTCCTTGTAAATAATATAGTTAACGGGATACCGCAGCCTAAAATGTATTTTCTTGCACGAAAAATCGCTGTAGCAATCGTAGTGCTTCGCCAAGCTCCATACGATCAAAAAATATATGTATAAGAAGAGACCGTAGGAAAATATTTTGAATAATATTAGAAGGTCTGAAGGCGGCGAAGCTAATATCGTCCCGCGAAGCAGTAGCAGTGGACAGCTGCCACATATTGGCGTTCTTGCGTCCTCGTATCGCATGGAAATGCCATCAACCGCGTGACCGCATAGCAGTGACCTCATAGCCAGTCTAAATTTATACTCAATAGTATAATCGAGCTAGGGTATATAAAAGAGAATTAAGAGACATTACAGTACATCTGGTCATTTATGCAATAAAATCATCAATACAACTGACTGAATCGAATTTCATGGTTATATGTAGTGTTGGTTTTCTCAGCTATTTCGCGAATGGCGATAAAAAAAGGTTGCTGACATAGGCTGGTAGATAAAAGGGGGCAGTACCTCTAGCAACAAATCCACTAAAAAGCTACGGAGTAGAACAAAATACATCTCTACGTAGCTCAGAGATTTAGTTCTTTATTTTAAACCTCGTGACGACCAAAATGTCCTCATTACTCCAAATTTCGGAAGCGGCCCTGAATTTGGAAGCGACTTTTCTTCACTGGGCTTGAAGATACAAAGGAGTGATACCGCGTTCAACCTTCGGCTCAATACAATGCTCCAATACTGAAGAATTTATTAGTAAGAGTTCTAATGATATTAAGGAAGAATCACAAGTAAGATGGAAGCAAATTAGCAATTGCCGTATCCGCTTAAATGTCTCATGTCGTTCCCAGGAGATTATAGATTTTTAAGAGTTTTTGGCAATTAATTGTTAGTGTATTTAGAGTCTGTGTGTTCTAAAGCTGCTCTAGATATATATAGTAGCGAGGGGTGAACCCTATGGAATGTGGCATTTTTCCGTAAGAATACTATTATAAGTAGGTACAAATTAATAATTTGCTTTTAATTTAACTGGCATCTAAATGTGAAATCCATTCCAACTTTTGGTTGGAATTGT